GGACGCGGCTGGTAAAACCACCATCCTGTACAAACTGAAGCTGGGCCAGTCCGTCACCACCATCCCCACTGTGGGCTTCAATGTGGAGACGGTTACTTACAAAAACGTCAAGTTCAACGTGTGGGATGTCGGGGGCCAGGACAAGATCCGTCCCCTCTGGAGGCACTACTACACGGGCACGCAAGGGTTGATCTTTGTGGTGGACTGCGCCGATCGTGACCGCATCGACGAGGCCCGCCAGGAGCTCCACCGCATTATCAATGACAGGGAGATGCGGGACGCCATCATCCTCATCTTCGCCAACAAGCAGGACCTGCCTGATGCCATGAAACCCCATGAAATCCAGGAGAAACTGGGTCTGACCCGAATCAGGGATAGGAATTGGTACGTGCAGCCCTCCTGTGCTACTACAGGGGATGGACTCTATGAAGGGCTGACATGGTTAACATCCAATTATAAATCCTAATGAGAGAATAACTATTTAGTCTACAAAGAATTAAAGGAAAAAAAAATAACCCACATGGCTTTCCGGAAGAATGATTCTCTACTGAAAAGTTAAAACAAAAGCATCCATAGGATTATGATCACCTTTCTCCAGTTACCACCCTTTCCTTCTGCACACTTGACTGGATTCCTGTTTTAACTCTTCTTGCTTGGCGTTAGGATGCTCTAATCTCCGAATGTGACACGAACACAAGCACTAGATGCTATGGCAGACTTCCAGCAAACAGGGGAAAGACACATTGTAGACTTGCTAAGTAACTTTTTTTTTTTTCTCTTGATAGCCCTTAAGATGGTTTGATTATTTTGGGGGATGGTTGGGGGTGGGGTACCATTTTCAGTGTATGCTTTCTGGTTCTACTTTTTTGATTATATTTTTTTTTTCCTTCTATCACTTGCTGTAGATTGCTACTTTTTTGCATTCACGCAGAATATGTTGATAGGTCTACTTCATCTAGTAAACTGAAAATTATTGCTTAAAATCAAACTGCAGTCTGTCTTTTTATATTAAGGACTTTTTTAAAAGTTCTGTTAATCTGTAACTAAATAGTGACTCTCAGTCTGTCTTCATATCTCAGACTAATAACGAAACGAATTCTTGCCCACAGTGGCAGATAGCGCGAATACCATTGTAACATGTTCAAAGTGCATATCAGGCGCAATGTTAACTAGGTAATGTAAGAACTGCTTTGAAATGTCAGCTGTGAAGTTCTGAACCATACATCATGCATGAAAAAGGGATGCAAATAAGTTCCCCATACTACATAGCAACCATATAGCAAATAAGACATGAATGATGTAATAGTTCCAGGGTAGGTACTGTTCAGTTTTTGTCTTGCATTGCAAACTTAAATGATGTTTAGCTGCAGTTTTTACTACTCGTGTCAGTCTCCGATGCGATGCAAGATAGGTTCCTTCCAAAAAATGCAGCAATAACGTGTAAGCCTTGCAACAAGTTTTACTTTGTCACAGATGTCTAGGCAAAAATCTAGCACCGTCTTGCGATCAAGACAAATTGTTTTCATCTCAAGGCAGTTGAAGGCATCTAAATCTAAAAGCATTTCTAATTCTTTCCGAAATGCATCTAGTGGAGAAAGAAACTTTTTTTTTTTCCTCTTTTCCATTTTGTAGACTTCCGATGGGGCGAGTTCCGTGCTAAGCTGTAATTGAGCTTGGTAATTCTGATACCTGAATAATAGCCATTTTGAGAAAAATCACTTTTTGGTTTAGTTTTCCCAAACTTGACTGAACTCCTGCAAGTAGTTGCAGCCTTTGCCATCTGTCTCGGTAGCCGGTTGTTGCTGTAGTCCTGTAGGAAGGGAACTATGTTGGATGTCTGAAGCCCATTGAGTAACTACTAATGAGAGCGGGGAGGAGAGAGAGAGAGTGTACGACTATGAATGTAAACTTCCATAATTAGTTCTTAAAGGGCAAGCAGCTCATTTGCCACTTCACAGTTTGCAGATGTGACTGGCAAAAACAAAACCCCACCCAGAAGAAGTATTAGTATAAAAACTCAATCAAGTATTAATGCTGGGTGCAAAAAATGTTAAAGCAGCTGGTTCTTATTCAGCCTTAAGGATTAACTTCAGATTTCCTCAAGGAGTTAAACTCGATTGGGGAATTCTAGGAATGTATGCTACAAAACCAGAAGAAAATGGCTTTTTTTTCTTTTTTTTTTTTTCCAAGGATGAGTTTTAGAAGAAATTGAGGGCATTACACTACATCTCTGCAGTGTTGACTCTGCGTGCTAAGTACATTGTATATGGAGCTCTTACCAAAGATGTATGGGAAGATAAAAATACTGAATTCACTTCTGAAATGGAATGCTTTGAACCACGTAAAAGTTCCTTTAGAATATGGTTCCAAAAGACTTATCTCGATGTGGGTTGCAGCTGGGACTGAATGGGTTCTTGATGCTAGAAGATAGAGCATTGATTGACTGTACGCCTTCCGAAGTTAAAGAGAGTCTGCAAAAGCGTAATGTAGAATAACTCTTAAATCTCAGCTCGAAAGAAAAGGAGGCGAGGTTTATGTTTTTTCACTCGAGGCTTTTTTGCCATTGGAATATCGTTGCTCTATTTTCTAGTGTTTTGGGTTTTTTTTTTCCCTGTTGTTGTAACTTAACAAATAGCGTGGTGGTATAAAGACTAAAAATACAAGAATATGGTTACTGTTTTCTTCTGGAGCATAAATAAAATAGCCAAGCACAAAGTAAATGCCTAAACTGGAAAACTTGAAGCTCTATTAATGGTTCTTGAACTTTCTTAAATCTATTCTCAGTCAACATGAAAACTTCAATAACTTCATTTTTCGTCTAAGTTGGTTTACTATGTTTTCAAGTGCTGGGGCAGACTTTTTTGCTAGACTTTGCATTAAGTTGAATTCACAATTTTGTATTTCCTTAGTAACTTTGTTATTCTGTTTTTGTAGGTGAAAGGAAACTGATTATGCTTCTGAATTTTTTTTTAATGTCTTTTTTTGGGGGAGGGGGGGGAGAAAAAGTTACTGAAACATGTGGCAGAGACTTCAAAAATAAATGACCATTGCTACTGAACAAAATACAAAGGTTTCACTTTCAACATGTCCTTTATAGGTTGTAGCTGAACCGCACCACGAACTAGTGGCTATCAGGCAGTAAACATAGCCTGTAGGATAAAGTGGCAATCTGTAAGAAATCTTATGACTTAAAAACTAATCTGAAGTTGAAGTGCATCAATTTGTGTTCATGTGAATTTATGGAGTAAGTTTTGAATGGCGTTAATCGTGTCTGATAAGTGAATGAGTTTGTAGACTGTGATCTCCCTGACTAAACAGGAATTTTGTGTTCTCAATATGGCTGTAGTGTTGGTAAAGAACTAATAAGCAGAAAATAAAGCAATTATACAGCGGAGCTCTCCTGGTATGTTACTTATATTTTAATTATGAGAGAAACAGAAAGGGGCAATATGGTGCTGGAGTAGAGCGTTCTGCCAACATAAAGAGGTCTCTGTTCTGTATTTCACAGTTTTGAAAGCCTGTCTGTAATTCCTTTGAGACTTAGATTAGTGACTATTTTTATAAGTGGAAAGGATGATACTTCTTTAATACTCCCACTTGCAGTTAACAATCTTTAGCAAACTTTAGCGTCAAATTTATACTGCCGCGGTGCCAGCCCCCTGTAACTCGGGAAGGTAATGGCACGTGAGCAGCTCCGTGAGAGGGCTGAGCAGGACGGTGCCGTGTTTCACGGAAGAACTGACTTGGTCGGAAAAGGAAGATGTTAGGTCAGTGCAGAAAATGCAGCAATGGCCGAAAGGGTTGATGAGTGAATAGGGGCGCTTGTGGAGCGACAGATGTGAAGTCGAGATGTCCCTGGTGCCTGAATAGGACACGAGCGAGCAGATAAAAGGACTTGGGCAGGTGCAGCGGGGAACGCGTCGGGGGGCCGAGCAGCAGGCTGGGGCGCACGCAGCAGGCTACAGTTACTGCAGCAGCTGCCGTGCTGCGGGCCCGAGGAGCGGCACCCGCGTTCCGGGAACCACTCGGGATCCCAGCCCGAAGCTGAGCTGTCGGGCAGAGCTGGCAGAGGGGATGGCGGAGCTTTCGAGGTAGCTCCCCGCAGCTGCAGGTGTCCGCTCGGAACTGTCGTCTTGTTGCAAAGCTTTTGGGAATCACCAGGAAAGGTCGTTCAGCCGGGTGGGAGTACCCGGGTGCAGGGGTGGTGGGTCCATCGGGGCTGCAATCCTCCCCGAAGCCTTTTTAATCCAGGGTGTTTAGGCTGGGCTCTGTCCACCTGAATGGCAGTTAAGGGTGTGGCTGTGTAAATGAACTTACTCTGACTTAATTAAACTACTCGGAGTTTGGAGACAAGGCTCCAGAAGAGTAAACTCGTGTCTCTTTCATTGTAGTAGTTAGTCATTTTTGAAAATGTCAGCACTTATCATTTTAAATCGGACCTTTGTTACAGCAGCGGTTAGCGTGACTCCCAAGAGCACCCTTCCCGAATCGTGCCGTGACTCACGCTTCAGCAGGGCTTTTTCCCCCAGTCGCAGGGCCGTGGTCCTCGTGGACAGGGCTTGGAAAAAACCTGCTTGCCATCCCTAATTGGAAATCAACCCTGCTAACACACCAGTCCTCCCAAGGAATGTCTCTCAGATTTAAAAAAAAATTAGTTGCATCGTCAAAACAGCTGGCTGTGAGATCTGTTGCTTCGCTGATGGACCTGTGTGTTATTTCCCTTGTCGCTGGGACCTGGGAATGGGAGAAGCGACCGCCGGGAGCGGGGGACTTGCTCTGGAGTGTGGAAGCAGCCTTGGTGTGGGCACAGTGACTCAGACTTCCCACCAACGCACGGTTGTGCTTCTTATCTTGGATTTATTTCTAATATCTGTCCAGCCTGAAGGGCTCAGTATGTGGAATCTGAAATCACCTCTGCTTTGGTGCTTTCTGGAGAAGGAGAAAAAAAAAGAAAAGGCAGCTTTCCCCTTGCCTCAAGGGCTGTTGGTGAGTTTGTGGCACCTCCACTTGCTAACTCTGTTCCTCTTCCGACGTCCTAAGCACGACTGCGGCAGCGACGCTGTAAGTTTCAGAATTATGTCTAAGCAGAACGCTTTCAGGACGTCAGGCTGAGGTGGATGACTTGAGCACCGCAATCCATCTCGCTTTCAATATTCGGAGCACCGCGAAGAGCCGGGGTAATTTTAGCCCTGCCGTCAGTTCGGAAGGGGTGAAGCGGGTGAGTCAGAGCCCCGTGGTGCTCGGTGGCGCGGGGTGCGTCCCCGTCGAGCGGCGGGAGTTTGTGTGAAAGGTGGCTTTTTATAGGCGGTAAACTGGGTATGCGGCGTGTTGTCCAGGAAGTCGATCTTCTCTTGCTTAAGAACAGGTATCTCTGGCCTCCTTAAAAAAGAAAGGGGGTGGGGGGGGAAGAAGAGTAAAGCTGTGAGTCATTTGCCGAGTTCTCCAGCCTCAGAGTCTTACGGCAGTTTAACAGGCTCAGCCCTTGCTTTGCCTCGAGAGAAATCTTTTGCCTTCCAGAGGACACACTTTGCTCCTCTGTTACTGGTTCTTTTAGTTGCATCCTCTAGGACAGCAGTAGTTAGGAAAAAAGCAGGATTTAATGGGTGTCTGTTTTGTGAGAGATGGAAATAACACTTGAAACCCCTTATATTCCTTAGGAGTATTCGGATGAGTGCAACCTCGAGGGGAGCCAGCAGCAGCTCCTGGCCCGGTGTAGGTACCCTTCAGACTTGGTGAAAACTCACTCGGTGGTTAAAAAGGGAAGAGAAGGAAGCCGAGGTGTAGATAACAGGCTGAACTCCTGAACTTGTTTCTGTGTCTGTGCCTAGAATGGATTCCTTGTTTGAAATATAATGGGGGTAACGCTGCCTGGGCCAGGCACCGGCTTCATCCCAACGTTTCGTTCTGACGGAGGGGAGGGGAGGCTTTCTCTCTCATCGTTGCAGGAGATGAAAACCTGTGGAAAGCTGCAGCAAAGCACTGCGTGGC